ATAACTATAGTGGATTATAGCCAATATACAATGTTTAATAAAACCACAAAATATATCCCACATCACTGACGTTTGCAATACGAAAACTGAAACTAAAGGACAGAACCAATGTTAACTTTCTTATTTTGTTAAAATCTATCCGAATAGAAATCCCTTCCTTCGGAGATTATGATACACAATGTACAGATAACTAACTATTAAGTGGTTGGTTGTTGATTGGTTCTTAAATACGTCTCATTACTTATTTATGTTCCACAGCGGAGTGCTCTTAACGCCTTGAATACGGGATCAACAGCGCCCTCTACGGTGCATTTTACTCCGGTAAACGATACAGTAATTATAAGTAAAGTTACCTTAAGTATTCTGCAAGAATATTCTCAGTACATCGGTAAAATGATACACCACGTTTTAAGGTTGTCACATAGGCCTAGTTAAAAAGCCTGCACGGTTCAGTAATGTGCAGATAGATTCACTGCGCATGCATGACGCATATTCACGATCCAGTGTATTGTGGGCCTGTTCGAGCCATCACAACACATTTTACGCGCACAGGTATTCTACCTCTAGCATTCTAGAACGCCTTGCAATCTGCTTCTCATTCATTACAAGTTATTTATTGTTATATAGTTCTATTTAAATATTGATTAATTCCTTGAGATAAGACAGTACTTTAAATGATATTTATTAAGGTAATTTACAGATTATTTATTAAAAAACGAATTTGATAATGTATAGCACCATTAAGATGTGCACTGATTTTTTAGTACGAATAGAATGATTACTGTATTTATTTAAAACGAGTTTGATAATGTATTGTTATATAACAACACCATTAGGATGTACACTGATTAGTACGAATAGATTAAAATTTTGCATAAAGTAAATCGTCAATGGGGAATTATATAATAATTGTATCATAGGCCTTGTTCTTGGTGACGCTTTAATTAAAGCGAAACACAGAAATTGACTTTTATGATTCACTCTTACTGAAGGTCCTGAAACACAATTCGACAATCTTTTTTCGTATTTGGCTTTGGGCCCATTCCATGTACGACATCAGTTATGATACAATTATTATATAATGGTATATTACTTCTCGGTGAAATGAAAAACAAAACCTGGTACCTTTATATAAAGGATTTATGTAATAATGAATAATAAGGTCATTTCATTACAATATTTGTGATGTCAAACCTTAAATTAGTAAGTGATATTCACTATTTTATCTGTAAAATGTGTTTAAGATTTATATTTGTTAATGCATTTTGCAATATTTATTATATTACATAACTGTTACATACAATATCATTAACACCATTGCAATTATGATCATCATCATCACCACCACCATCATTATTATCATCACTATCAGGCCCGTAGCCAGGTACGTCCTTCCAAGTGGGTGAGGGGGGTGTTTCTGGGCGTGAGGACTTATTTGGGAAATTTGAAGAGGGGGGGGGGGTTCGCCATAAAAGAGGGGGTTTGCTAGAAAGGGGGGTCCTCCCGAACCATAACCACCCCACTGGATACTCGCCTGACTACCGAGTCATCATCTCATTGTCATTATTATCATTAATAACTATCATAATTATCTTTTTTATTATTTCTTTAAAAATGCTAAAATAGTTTATACATATATTTTTTCAATTAAACTAATGTCGTTTCATATGCACAACATGCCTAACGTAAGTCTATTTTCTAATAAGTGATTTTAACGACTTTAAATGTTATCTGCATTATTTAAGCAACACCATGCTTTAATCTATAAATGTAAATTTCTATTAATGTAATTTTATTATTGTAAATTTCGAATTTATTTCAGTCACAGTATATGCCTATGTTAAATGATGTTGTTTTATAACGAATAAAGTAATCAAACACTCAATTAATTTCTATTTCCATTATCACTGTAATAAGATCGTTGACATAGGCCTTTATAATATTTTATTAATATAAATATTAAAATTGATAACTGTGGTAGTGATATTGATATTGCTATAATAAACAATAATATAATCAGAACACATTAGCATTGAACATTAGCGTCAGGATTGCATTCACATAAGCAATAAAATTATTACTAACAATAACATTACCATCAGCATTAACATTTACATTTGCATTAGCACAAGTATTAACATTAGCATCAGCATAATTATAAGCATCAACTTCGCCACAGCGTTATCAACATCTGTCACACAACGTAGTATTACTTTAAAAAATCAGTACACCATTAAACAAGGGTAAGCTCTACTCTTCGGGTCTCCCGCGACGTAATTTAAATTTCCTTGTTGAAAATAAATATAATTAACTGTAAGCTAAATGAAACCACCCTACAAAAAATTGTAATAAATTTGTATTGTAGCAGAGAAATCATCCAATGGGGGAAAACAGCTCTACTCAAACGAAAGAGCATAAAATCACATTAATAATTACAAAGATTAAAAGTCTTAAGTAAAGGCATGGAATTATTAGTTCCATGATAAAGGTATCAGCGATGTCAATGGCAATCGTATTTAACGTGCTATGCATTGTCTAACTTCACATAGCAGGAGTTTACAGTCATGCGCTTGCAGGAACAAACATTATATAGGTCCTATTCTGCTGAAGTCCCCCTCCCACGTATCCCATGAGACTTGCGCCTATTTCGTCCATTAAAAACAATTATTTTGTTGAGCTGTCGGGCTGATCTATACCGGTACTAGTCTTTGTAACCGTGTGATACTGGATTACATATGGTGGCTTGAATGCATACAGTTAGCGCAGACACTACATTATTAATGCCAAGAAAGACCAACAAAAGTACTCTTGCAACTATGTAAACCATAGTACATTTTAGACAAAAAAACACAACAGAAATCTATTAAATAATGTGAATCTTTAATCACGCGGTATACAAGATTCCTGTCGCAATTGTTTCTTATATGTTCTAGAAGAAAAAAAAAAACAAAAAACGACGGTACACTGCAGACACAACCGACTGAGAGTACACATACCGGCACACTTTTCAGTAATTTCTTAATTAAGAATTTTTATTTCAACACCAAATTGGAATTTAGGGCAGGTAGAATTTCCAGTAGAAGATTTGATCGTAACTGTCTTGCTTTTCGTTCCTTTCTCCTTTTAATTTCTGCACACCTGTTGTTTTCAAAGGCTGTCATGCCTTCTCGGATTGTGGTACGCCAAAGTATTGGCTTCCCAGTTTCTTTTACATCGATGTTCCATTTCTTCAAGTTAGCTTTTAGGTTGTCTTTGAACCCTTTCCTTTGTCCGCCTTGTTTTCGCTTGCCTTCCTTTAACTCAGAGTAAATTTTGCTTCGGTAGGCGATTTTTATCCATGCGAAAATATGACCACACCAACGTGACTGGCTTTTAATATCAATGCGTCAATCCTTGTTATGTTTCCTTCATTGAACATTAAGATTTGCTATTCTGTCTTCCCAACCGATTTGTAGGATTTTTGGAAGACAGCGTTGGTGAAACTTTTAAGTTGCGTTGGTATGTTGCCCAAGTTTCCGAAGCATATTGAATTGGAAGGGTTGTAATTATAATTTAGAATTCATAGCGTTTTATACCGAAACTGTCTCAAAGCGCTCGTGTGGACTAGCGCTAACAGCAACTTGTTTATATCCTTTAAGGGTGTCTTCATGTCTGAGCTACTCGGTAAACCTGTACCACTACTTTCGTCTGTCCACAACAGGGGCTGAATGACCACTACACCATGAGTAAACCTCTACTCGTCTCGAAAGATGCACTGTGTTCTTTAAAGTGCACATATTGTGCCAATTTATGTACACTGGGCCTACGGTTTATAGTCAATATTCGAGAAGACTTGTTCCACCAAAACCATAGGCGAGCGTGCCGTCGGCGTTCGAACCAGCGCCAATACTATGGCTGTAGGTTGCAGCGGCGCCGTTTGGCCCTTTCGTAATCCCGCAGTGCCAACTCTATGTGGAATCATGGGATGAGTTTCGTTTCACAAACTCAATCGCCTTTACGACGCAACATAGGCCATCGAACCGCTCGAACCACAGCTGCATTGTACACTGAGGCTAAATGTGAATGGCCAGAAATAGTACTTATTGTGGAAACAAAATGGCGGTGGGGCGAATACCTGGAGTGTCAACACCTCAGCCCCACCATAGTCAATGCTGAGACTGAGGCATTTCCCGGTACTCGCAGACAGTTACCAAGGGTCTTTAGACGTTCAAATGTAATACACCAAACAGTGTGAACACTTAAAATAAAGACCCTGTGATAATATTTGAAAGTATTCAACATTCTCTTGCCATCAATTGTGGAACCAGGAAAAATTAGTGGTTCTGCTGTCCGATTTTAGCATTTTCTCCGGAGTAGCACAAATATCTAAAAGTAGTGAAGATCCAACTTTTAAAGAAGAACTGTATCGAGTTTTTCTGTATTTTTATACTGACGGGTTTCACGAAAATAAGACCATATGAATAATTAAGTTGAGTTGTAAACAGGTAACAAATTGGCTGGTCTTATTTATTCATGTTTAATATTTTATATTTTAGTTAATCTGAGTTGGTACCGGTAATCCATTGGAATTGTAATTTTCTTCAATTTGTAAGATATTATATTTTCAAATTTCCTGCCCAGAAATCTATTAATTAGGTAAATTGGGCATCATCTAGGTCTAAGCCACTACAGAATATGTGAGCTGGCAAGCTATTTTCCCCCTACAAAAAAATGAAATTGATTAACTAAATTCGAACTAGAATGCATCCCGATTCTGGGGTCTTCAATAGTTAAGTAACAGAAGAAATTGCCGTAAGTTAAAACAAAAAATCGACACTAATGTAAAATACTGTACTATACATCAAAAGTAAACTTATACGACGGTAATCATATTTTATTGTTGCGATGGCGGATGTTCATCGTATCGAGTCGCTGATGCGCGACGGGTTTTCTTTCCAACACTATTCATAGACTTTAGTTTTCTGTCTTTCAGTCAACAAAAGCATTATATTTCGGTTTGAAGTCCTTTTCAAAAATTACTTTAAAGGGCAAGCCCGGGTTTGTGACCTTGATACGATAGTTATTATTATCTGCTGCACTAATTCACACACGCATTGTAGGACTATTATTATACCGCGTCCTCGCGCAGACTATAATAATACCATCATTAGTCAGTTTGTGTTTTTGCGGACGTTTCTCTGAAAGCGATTAATCATCGATATTCCAGTTTGGACTTTGAACAAGGTCCACACCACAGCTCTTTACCAGACCAAACCAGTGGCTTCTACCATTAGCAAACTGTTAAAGCAAGCCACAGACAACACGAAATCTCGGATCAAAAGCCATGCCAGGTAGGCCTATGTGACGAATTGCTTTATTATATTAGTATTCCGTAATTTGCTTTAAAGTCATACTGAACACAAACCATTCTACGGATATATTATAAGGTATCCGGGGATGCTTTAATAAAGCCAAAGCCTGCACCGAGTAAAATGTGGCAAAATACAGGTTGGCGGATTTTTATCATGTTTGAATACAAATCAGCTTTTGATCACAGATATTTCCTATGCACAGGAGCCTGGGGCCGTACGACACGCCGGCTCATACCGAGGCTGCGCGTCTCAAACTGCGGTAGTAGACCTATCATTCGACCCTAGTTCTACCCTTCCCAGCGGCGGATCCAGTAGGGGGAACGTGCCCCCCCCCCACGTTTTGACACTAAATTTTAAACATTTCAATGCATATCAGTCCCCTTGTTTGAAAAATTCTGGATCCTCCCCTGCCTTCTTGTTACTCCACACCTTTGGAGTCTTTAGGAGTCCGCTTTACCAATAACCAGAAGCAGACGCGTGTGTAATCACTTTTTTTAGCAATGATGATACGAAATATGGTAGGAACTCTAATAATATGAGTAAAGTATATTAGGCCTACATGGTACATGAAAGTGGTCGCATTGAAACATAGGCCTATAGCACGAACACTTTTTTTGGAAATAACTTGATATGGCATACTTTCTTCCAATGATCCGATAATCGACGATTTGTTTTTAGTGGATGAAAGTAATCTTGGTGTCACATAAGCATTGAAATAAAATGGATACTATCAATTTAAATTTAATGTAAATATAAAAACAAATTATTGGCCTATAATATGCCTCAATTATAATGTTATATATATATATATATATATATGTTTGAATGTATATAATATTATATTATAGGCCAGGTATTTATGTATTATATATTATGATGTGAATCGTATCAACCATAACTCTTCAACAAAATGTTCCTTTTCAGTATGGCAAAAATGTCTCTTAAAGCACAACTCGTTCATGAAAACGAGTGTCCTACCTCTAGGCCACAGATCCATATGATATTGACAAAGAAACAACCCCAGAATATCCACTCATACAACTGACTTAAGTCGGTTGGAATCTTTTGTAAGCGTTCGAAGCTGTACTTTTTTCAGTTTGAATACCGGTAATGTTTACGGTAACGGTCTCGTATAGCGACTTCCACAATAAACATCGTCTCAAGTCATAAAGTGAAAATATATCAGGAAATCAATCCATACTAACCACATAAAACCAAATAAAACTCACAAAACAATAGTGTAAAGCTGAACCAACACCACCTTACAATACAAGCGCGTGGTGCAGCGGGGTGTAAGGCGTTGGGTTTTTAATCGGAAGATCGGGGGTTCGAGACCGATGCTCGTCCCACTGATTGTGTCATTGGGCAAGGCACTTTGTCCGCATTTTGCCTCTGCAGGCCCGTATCCAGGGTTTTTTTTTAATGGTTCGGGAGAATGCTCCTTTTCTAGCAAACCCCCCTCTTTTCTGGCGAAAGCCTCCCCCCTCTTTAAATTTCCCAAATAAGTCCTCCAACCCAACTAATGCACTGCAGACCCACCCAGACACAGACATTTTCAAACATATCTGTGGCAAAGACAAGCCAAACCAGTCACTCGTCGCAAAAATCGATTTTGAGTTATTAATACAGTGTTAGAGAGTAAAACAATAGCTGTAGGTCTAAAATGGTAAAAAAATCATTCAAATCGGACATTTCCTTATGAAGTTACAAGCGTCTAATCACACAGCTGTTTAAAGAACAATATGAGAAATCAGCCTTCAAAGTTTATGATTTCAGGCATTTCTCATGCAGAAACTATCTTTAAATCCTTAAAAATTGTTGTTTTAACATTGAAAATGGGGAAAATAACAGCATAGAATGATGTATAGATATATAAAGTTTAGTTTAGTGCAATAAAATAGATTTTTAAAAATTTGTCATTCCAGCATGTTTTGGCCATTTTCTCTGTAACGATTTGCGACGAGTGACTAGTTTGGCATTTTTGCCATTCTGCTTTTATAGCATTATTTAGACCCATAAAGCACAAAAATCCTCTTTCTTTGGGGTTTCGTCGACCCCACCGGGGCTTCCATTGTGGACCGCACGCCCAACCCACCTCCCCCACCATTGGAAGAACCGGGCTACGGGCCTGAATAGGTCCTGTAGGAGGTGAATGATTGGGAATGAAATTAGTAGTTCAGTGACATACGCATAACCAGCCTCTCCAGCCAGCGGAGGAGGTTGTTATGTTTGATTCTGTATCCAATGACCAGGGGGAAAAGCGCATGAACTGGATATGTGCGTTATATAAATCCTATAAAATAATAATACTGTACAGGCAATAATAATTTCACTAACCTGCTATGTTCAAATCAAATTGATGTCATGACAAGCGCATCCACTGTAAGCCAATAATCGACATTAATGGTACACTCTGTATAGAGAAACTACCGTACTTTTTACTTGAAATAAAATTCAACATTTGGAATGCTAACTTGAATAGAACTATTAAAGTTAGTTTTTCAGTTATAAATTGAAACGAGAAATATTTCCCTTACTATTTAACAGACGCATCGTTCCTTGTAAACCTCGAAAACTGGTCAACGTTATGGACTTTTTAAGTAAAAATTAATAGGCCTAACTGAACAGGGGTGGATCTAGCCCGGGTGGTTGTAAAAGATAAATTTATTTAGAGTTTCAGGATTTTACACAACAAACCGTGTATAGGAATCGTATAAAAAGACGAATGAATGGATGTAACGTATGTATGTTTGTGGTTAGACCATTTTTCATGAGGCAGTTTTCAGTTGTTTAATAAGTGATACAACAGACGAAGCTTTAAATACGACTGTGGTCTATTTGTACAGTAATGAATAATGCACAAATTGGGGACTGCAACGATCAGTTTCCATTTCTTCTTAACAGCACCTAGAATTGGACAACACATAAGCACCTGTCAAGCGAACTCAGTTGAGTATGGATATATTTTGAAAGGGGGATTAATTGCATTAAATATTGCAGCACCATGTACGCTCAATATAGATGGAATTCGGTCTATCTACGTCGATTGGCGAAATCAGGGTGATGAGAATTTTAAAAGAGCAGTGATATATATCTAATCGTTGACTCGTCGTACACGTAAATCATTATTGCTCGAATATACACCAACGACAACATTGTAATCATGTCACAAAATGTTAATGTATACCTTAATGCTAATATAGCCATGGTTGTCTAATAGCATAAATATTTATTGTTATCACCATCATCATCATCATTTACTATTTTTATTATTTTTTTTTTTAATTTATTATTATTATTATTATTATTATTATTACTATTAATATTATTATTACTATCATTATCATCATTATTATTATTTTGCACACCACCATTATAAATATACCCTGATGTTTTATATTTTACGAACGTTGCAAAGTGGGTCTACTATCCTATCGTACTTTTACCAATACGACTACAGATCTATAACTGAGCTAGGTCACAATATTAGGCCTATTATTACGACTCCCTGGTTAAATTAATGTACCATAGGCCTAAACTATTGAACCGTAACATCAATCAACACCACAGCCAAAGGCGACGCGAACTTACTATACTGTACAACTTGCTCACATATGCTACATAAGTCTACTATGGGTCTGCATTAATCAAGTAGAATTAATATCGGTCCCCATTACCGAGATACAGAGTGATCTGTTGGTTGGTTTTAATTTTGCAGTTTACTTCCGTAAACAATAGGGAATCAGATTTTACCAGCATGCTAGGCCCGGATAGTGGTTGTTTCTCAACGGGCCGTGAGCAGCAACGAAAGAGCGTGCTCTAGTCTTCTCTGACATCGTCGGTTGATATTAGTAGGAAACAACACTGTATTGTTATAAACCGAAATACTTGCTACTAATAAAAGTTGGATATTAGAGGTTTCTTTTAAAGCTGTGAAGCCAAATGCCGTTGTTGTGTTCGGCACATGGTTGCAAGTACCACAATGAGCACGTTGCAAAGGAGAAAGGAGTAACGTTTCATCGGTAAGTACTTTTTGACTTTAGTATTGATATAGTTACTGTGTTGTGTGCATTTTCATGGTTTTGATAAGAGTAGAGGTTATAGTGCTGAACTAATCAGCAAGTCATAATACTGTAAGACTAAGAAATATAGGAATACATTTACATAAAAACCTAGGTCAATGTTCAGTAAAACAATCACAGGTATAAAAAGTGACACATTACAAAAACATAGACAAATATAAAAAAAAAATGTTAATTAATACAATTTACAGTGAACTTTACTTCAAACTTTCCCATCTTTCAATATGAACATATTGGTACTTAAAGGTATGTGATGAAATATAAAAGTAAACATTAAATTCAATAACAATTCAAATTAGCCTATAGGCCTACTTTGTGTGTTCTAGAAAGTTATTGGTTTCAGTAAATTAATTAAAATCAGAATGAGAATTTTTTTCGTAAATTAACATAGGTATAAAAATAATAAATTTCCTGTTAAGTTGGTCTATAACCCTATCATTTTACTAAATCACCACAAAAATGATACTTCGTCCGTTTTTTTATTTGATCTTAATGCTAAATTCAGTTTCTGCGATTCCATGGACCTGTGCAGTGGCGTGACGCCGTTGGGCTCTCGAGCTTCTATCAGAGCCTTGGTCCAGTAGCAGACACCCAAAAAGCAAATTTAAACAATATACTTCCTGGTTTTTTTAAACTCACGAATGTCATACAATGTGTGTACAACACTTTTTTTTTGTACAATGTAATTTTCCGACCCAATGAGTGTCACAGAGCAGAGCTCCACAAAAAACTGATATTTGAATAAGTCTAGTTCGAAATAATAAAGAAAGTGCAGCCTCTCATAGAATACAAATCAAAATAAAGTAACATAAAATACTACGGTATTGAAGATATTCTACTGTGAAGAGGGGCTCGTCTGCTACTTCCTTTCGTGACCCTCCTAATTGATTACAAGTGTATTAGGGCCCTTAACACTTTCTCACCCCGGGCCACTTGACTCGTCGTTCCGCCACTGTGCTTAGATAGATTTATGAGTATATTTCTTTACATTATGAAAATTATTAATATTTTCCATTTCTTCTAGCTTTCCGCATAGTGATGCTAACAGGTTGTGGATATGGGTAGTGAATATGAAGATGGGCAAATGGATGCCTAAAGCAAGATCACTAATCTGTTCAAGGCATTTCACCAAGGACTGCTTCGAGAAATCTCAACAAAAAGTTCGCCTCAAGCCCACTGCTATACCTACAATTTTCACTTTTCCTAAAGATGTAATACAGGTAGGTTTGATGACAAATTTGACAGATGGCACCTTCTTATCTTGTATTATAATATTACTTTTGATGTTATGGATTTTTTGTATGCCTTTATTATTCTTTTGAATATTATTTTCAATAAAAAAATACATATTAATTCTGTTATTCACTTTCTTACAGACTCCGTGCATGAAGCCCTCTATAGATGACATGCCAAAACGTAAGCTACACGTTGCCTCCATATACACACAGATATTGAAACAGATATTGAAAACAAACCCGCGAAAATCAGCATTTTTGAAAAGCAGAGCTGACAACCCTTCATATCTAAAAGATGATTGCCACATTCCAGCAATATTTTTACCGGTTATCTCTAGTTTACACTTTGTCTAATTGTGCCTCGGCATGTTTATAGTTGCAACAATTGTGTATGCAACAATTATTATTATTATATTGAAATTAAGCAATTACACAGGTGGCAGCATCGCAAATAATGTATTGTTCTTATTCAAAGGCTGTGTATATTGGAGTGAATATGGTTACTAGCCGAAATATAGGCAAATGCTATATTATGTGTTTTGATTTGCTTTGTGCGTTTAAGCTAGCTCTGTAGTAAGCCTTACAGTATGAATTGTTGGCAGAATTGTGTTGCTTTTTGTCTTGTTTGGCATTGTAACATGTAATGATTTGTATTCTTGTCAATTATCTTGTTCATAAAATGTGTCAGATACATTTTGTAACTTTAGCAAGCAGTAAATTCTTACACTGTATTTTGTATTATAACTGTGTTTAAGTGTTAAATGTTTGGAACCATTTGTACTGCATTTATTGGTGAGCAAGAACAACGATGTTGTTTTACAATGAGAACATAATAGTATGCAATAAAAAGGATTCACATCATGATACTGTATTTTAAAATTCAAATCTTATCTAATGCACATATAAAATATTAATGACTCAACATTTTATTGCACTACAGACTGTTTCATGAGGGTTATTGGAGAAAACCAATATTTCGACCTATCCCTTAGGTCTTTACCAAGGTCGAAATATTGTGTCGATTCACGGGGTACTTATTTTTCAACACTTGCAGTAGTTGCATGTGCTTTATTTTATATGTTTTTCTTTTCAATGTATTTATGGGTAAGCCTATATATGTATAGTTTAAGCGGATAGCAGCCCTCGATGGCTTATGAAGCAATAAAGTGAATTGAATTGAATTATATATATAGGCCTATATATATGTATATATATATATATATATATATATATATATATATA